GGTCTCTTCTTCCAAGGAGCCAAGCTCTCCAAGGTAGCTTTGCCTTGCTCTAAAGCTACTAAAAAGTAAAACTACAACTACTAGAAGTGAGTGAGGTGATGCTCAAGTGAAGTGTGTGAGTGAGAGGGGGGTACCCCTCTATTTATACGGGAGCCTAGGCGGTGCTTCATCTATTCCTGGCGCGAAACCCTGGGCTACACCACCTCAGCATGGCGGCATGCCACCGCCACAGCAAGAGGTGGCTGAGCAGCGCCGGCAGGGGGTTGCCCCCCCAGGGGTCGGTCACCCCCTAACTAAGCCGCCTCGCCACCGCCTTCGCGTGGCAGGCCTTGGGCTGGACATGGCTCCATGGAGTTTTGCCCCGGTTGAGTTGATTTGATGGGCGCCTCCCTTGTTCCTTTGTACAAATCAGCGTCGGAAAGCGCCTTTCGATGAATTATTCCATGTATTTATGTTTGTGACCTGCAAAATAATGTTCTTCAAATACATGTGCAACTTGGTTAAAAGCAAATGCATATGTGTTTAAGATTGTCAATTTCTCCTCTTTTTTTACCTTAGTTGGCGATCAGATTTGATCGTTAATGACGACCAACACCGAGGAGGACACCACGACCCAAGTGGGGAATTTTTTTTCTTTTTTTGAGGCTGGTCCATTGACAACAGAGGGAGGGAGGCAGGATCGGGAGTGGCGTCCGTTTGAGCGTTTCCATTTATTTTTCCTAGCGTGTCTATTGAGGATTATTGTGGAGATCTCATTTGGGACCTCCGGTTAGAATATCTAAGATTTATTATTTTAGCGAGATATATATTTAGCTGAAACCAAATTCTTGTTTTTAGGGTGGATGTGCCAAAATCTATCTGTAGAAGAAGTTTTGATGATTTGGGAACTTTACTGACCAAGCATGAAAATCAGGACTGATTTCTTTAGTTTTAATAGGTTAACACATCTGGATCTAGTACATGGGATCATTATTGTTTCCTTTGCATGTTGTCTTTCTTGATGGCGTTTTTGCCTCGACTCGCCTGTTGCTCATCTTCAGTGGGGTAATATTCTTTTCCCTTATGATATAGACTTTTTGCTTGCAGAAAATTGCATATTTGGGACTTCAATCATCGCGCATGAGTTGGGATTTTCTCGCAAGCAAAAGTCTATATCATAAGGGGTTCACCACAAATTATTTGCTCGCAAGCAAAAGTTCTCCAACAAAGAATATATCATATGGGGTTCATTTTGGGGGTTCACCACAAATTATTTGCAAGAGAGGTTCAGCTGGAGAGCTTATGCTTCGGCAAAGAATAGAAGGTGATCCCCCAAAGTCTATATCATAAGGGGTTCATTTTGGGGGATCACCACAAATTATTTGCAAGAGGGGTTCAGTTGGAGAACTTATGCTTCGACAAAGAATAGAAGGTGAGTTCTCCACTTTTTCCGTTGAACAACTCCAGACAATTTGTTGCTATGAAATATTACGGCCATGAGTAGAACCAATGATCGTTGTGTAGATAGATTACCACCAAAGCCGATATGTAAATATTGTTCTTACATGACTGAAATTTCGTTTGCTCAAATTTGGATGTTTCTGAAAAATTTTATGTCCCATTTATATCTGCTGAACAACCTCCAAGTGATGCTAAATTATAAATATGATTCATGAAACCTATTAAAAGGACTACTTAAGTTATATTGGCTTCACAAAGTTTGGTTATTCTAGATAAAAAAAATATGACACTAAGATTACTTTGGAGTGGACATTCCTATTTTTGAAAATTTGTCTCATGGACCATAAGCATAGGGCCTGTTTAAGTGATTCGCAAGGATGCCGGAATATGAAATGTTAAATCGATGCTGCATGTCATATCTCACTCCAAACTTAAGCTTTGCTAATGCTAGCCGTCATCATGCAGTAATCTGCTAAGCAACGGCACTAGATCTGGCAGCATGAACACATGTATGACGCCCACAAGTGATGCTGAGGGATCTGCAATATGGGTAGCGCACAGATCGAAGACTCTGAATAAACCAATTTTGTGGACTGCAGAGATAGCAAGGTCACAGTATGGCGGTCGGAGCCTTATCATTTTTCACCAAAGCATCATCATGTCGTTAGAAAAATACTACAGCTTTTGTCTTTCACTAAACCATAATAATTTTGGCTGCAGTGGTTATTCAATTCACAGTTATCCTAATCCTTGCTTTTTCCCCAGGTTGGTTCCGATAAGCTCTGTTTGTGTGAGTGAAATGCAATGATAACTTCAGTAGGGTTGCTTTGCTGAATATATTTTTTTTGAGGGAAGCTTTGCTGAATATATTGCCAACGTAGTTTGTATGTCAGGTTTATACCATTTTATTTTTATCTCTATAATAGCTTCAACGGGTTCCTTTGCTGAACAGAGGTTGCTATGTAGGTTTGTATGTTTTGTTTTATCTAAGTGTCCTGTAAGGGAAATGAATCAGCACGATTATGTTCAGATCAGTGTAGTTTGCCATTGTTAGAAACAGAAATGGCTTAACCAGGATTAGTAACAATCACCCGTGCAACTAGGCTTCTAAAAAGAATTCAGCCCTGATTCAACACAAATACATTCCAGCAATGGTAATTGTTCCATTGCCACGATTTTTTTTTCTTAAGTATCAACTTGGATACTGTTTTCCTAGAAAATGGTAATGGTTGTTCACACTTGCAAAAGTTCGCTCTCTCTTTTTTAGAACTGAAATGAGAAATATTGTGAGATCATGTGAAGTGCAGCGTCATATGATGATCTCAAAGAACTTTCCTCTCTTCTCTATGGACCTTTTAATTTGGGTCCTCAGTCATAGGGGACTGCAACCTTGTTCGATCTGCTCAAGATAAAAAAAAATGTACAACAACAATTGCAATCCTTCCTTAGCTACTGCTTTCAATGAGACAATCCAGGAGCGGGTACCCGTCCTTGCTTGAAATTCACCTTCTTGAATCTTGATAGGCTCTTCACTTGTCGAATCAATAGACCGTACCCATCCTTGCTCGCCTTGACAGAGCTTTTACCAACTATGACTAGTATCTGGTCCTCCCCTCGTCAACAAAGTTAGCTCAAGAATGGCTCAAACGAATCCGAAATATCAAGCAACAATATCTAAGTAGTCAACGAACACACATATCGAAGTAGAAGCGCACACGTCTCAAAGTAGAAGCCAACGACCAAAAACATGGGTACCAGCACAAAAATCACTGGGAAAAATATAGTCAAAGAGTAAATTTCTTGATCCCGTTGTAATGCACGGGCATTAACCTAGTTTTCAATAAATTCCAATCTTAATAGAAAATATCTGTTACTTCGTAGCCAGAGGTTGTGCTTTTAGCTGGATGTTATATAAAATATCAAGTTGACAAACTAAATATCCAAGCTCCAAATTTATCTATTATTTTTAAGTGAATATTCATCTATCAATCTGTGCATGCGTGTCTGAAACGAGGTCAATGTCACTTCTTTTTTTTTTCCCTTTTAACGGTGTCTTTCTGTCCACAGTTTTTGAACCAAATCTGCCAAAGATTCACGAAAAAGAAAGAAGCCAATCGGTGGCAAAGACGAGGACTCTCAATTAAAGAACAAGGAATATTGTAGGAGGATAGAAAGAGAACCAAACTGTACGGACTGACCACATTCTTATCTTTCTGCGGCTCAAAATTCCCCAGTAGCCAGTTATGGAACATCACTTTTTCAAAGGTTCCACATTGTTGTCACACATATATATATATATGCATATGCACGAATCACAGATATATACAAAGTTAGAAGTGAACCAGTTGACGTGTATCGACACACTGTTGCCTTGAATAGATCACTATGGCATCTTCTCTTTTTCTAAAAGCTGGATCGGAATAGGTCAGGATAGGTGTGTGATTAGCACAGCTTCCACTAGGTGCATGGTGACCCCACTGTTGGAACTATGGTTATCAACCACCTAGAGTGCACTTGCCAACGACAGGTAGGCTGTAGCCCTATGATTGTAAAATATTGCCCACAGATTTTATTTTTCCTGCGTTGAAACAGAGAAAGCTAAAATTTGTGATGTATATATGTTCACTTCGATTGTACTCCCTTTTAAATTATAAGTCATTTTAGCTTTTCTAGATATTTTTTTTATTATATATCTAAACATAATGTAAATCTAGGTGCATAATAAAAGCTACGTATCTAAAAAGAGCCGGAACGATTTACAATTTGGAATAGAGGAAGTAGATTCTAACTCAAATTGTGAACATACATTAAGTAAGAATTTAAGTTCAGAACTTCCATATTAGCCATGTACTCAATCCGGAACCATGAATCACTTATCCTTGCTCCCCTTACCATCAATATCACTTATATATCCAAGTTTATGGTGCTATTGGTTCAGCAAAAGTAGGGGCCCTAATTTGAGGGCTCCTGCTAAAGAATTCTTTAAATCATCATTTGGAGAGAGTCATTTGAATAAAAACTGGTCTCTATATCTTTTCACACTCCAACAACTTCTATATCGTGTGTGCACTCTAGAGAGCCAATCCCTCTTTTCAACATTAACTAGCGAGAAATCCAAAAGAGATGATTGCTATATTTGAAGATCTAATTAAATAAAACTATTGGAGGATATTTTTATCAAAGTCTTTATTCTTATTAACTAGGAAGAATATAAAGAGACACTTGGAGTTGCTCTTAGGTTAGGCTTCATCGATCCCTGAGAAATCTGTAGGGGCCCGCTATCTCCAAAAGACATGCTACCTTGTTCTGTAAACATCAGAGAATAAAGACTAAGAAACCACAAAAGTATCGAATACGAGAGGCACAACTTAACAAAACTCGTCTGCATCTGGTATCACAATTTGCAATTCCAGAAAACCTACAGGCAACTGATATAAAAGGAAAAAAAAAAGTAAAAGCAAAATTTGATCAACATCATCGCCTGCCTTTAAATATTCAGTTGCTGGAAGTCCTACAGTGTACAATGGAAAAGACCACTGTAAGAAGTCCTACGTTGTACAATGGAAAATACCACACAGCAACTCCATTCCTCGAGCAACAGAAAACCAAAAACATTACAAGTATCTTTACTTGCTGTTGCTCTTGTTCTGTTGCTCTTCTTAGCCTCTCCTGTCAGCTCTTGCAATGAAGAGGAGAAGACCTCCCTCCTTGGGTTCCTCGATGGTCTCTCTCAGGCCTCTGCCCTCAACACTTCATGGAAAAATGACACAAATTGCTGTTTGTGGGAGGGCGTTACTTGCAATGAGGATGGGGCTGTCATGGATATCTCTCTGGCTTCTATGGGCCTTGAGGGGCACATATCACCCTCACTTGGCAATCTCACCGGCTTGTTGAGGCTCAACCTGTCCGGCAACTTACTCTCCGGTGAACTACCACCGGAGCTGCTGTTGTCCAGTTGCATCGTCGTCCTCGATGTTAGCTTCAACAAGCTCAATGGAGAGTTCCACGAGCTGCCATCCACCCAAGAACTGGCAATAAAGGTAATCAACATCTCAAGCAACTTTTTCACAGGATATTTTCCATCTGACACACTATATGGCATGAAGAATCTGGCCAGTCTCAACATGAGTAACAATAGCTTTACCGGGAAATTTCCGAGCACGGTTTGTGTTGACAAGCCGTTCTTTGTGGTGCTTGATCTCAGTTACAACCAGTTTCATGGTGGCATACCGCCAGAGCTTGGCAACTGCCCTGTGCTGCGAGTGCTTAAGGCTGGACAAAACCAATTCAGTGGGACACTCCCCTGTGAGCTTTTCAATGTCACCCACTAGTACAGAACAGACCTTTGATCCTCGACCAAAATGAGCTCTAGTCCCGGAATTTTTTACGCCCGAGACTAGAGATATCGTTAGTCCCGGTTGGTGGCTCCAACCGGGACTAAAGGTCCCTGCCCAATGGCTACTGCAAGGCTGCATGTAGGTGGCAGGGACCTTTAGTCCCGTTGGAGCCACCAACCGACTAAAGGTATACTTTTACTCACGGTTGGTGGCTCCAACCGGGAGTAAAGGTCTACTCCCGGGCCGTGGCTGCGCCCGGGGTTGGAAAGTTACCTTTAGTCCCGGTTGGAGCCACCAACCGGGACTAAAGGTCTCCCCTTTATATCCCGGCCGTCTCTTTCCTCCCCAAGCCCGAGCTCAGCATATTTTGAAGCTCACTGCAGTAGTGTTCTTGCTTCCTCCCTCCCTCCATTGTTCCTCCATCCATTCTTCGATTCCTCCGTCGATTTCTTCGATTTCTCCGTCGATTCTTCAGTTGTAAATGTTACCAATCTCATACTCTCATTTTCACCATTGTCTTATCTCATTTTGTTCACTATATATATATATATATGGTTCTTTATTGTGGTTTTTTTCATTTGTAAGCAATTTGAGCTCAAAATCACTTCAAGCTTGCATATTTACATGAAAGAAGGTTAAAGTAGCTAGTTGAACTTGCGGACCGTGTTCATCTCGGCGACCATGTTCTCTGCCGAGCGGTAACGGACGTCAAGGAGGAGCTTTGATTCTACGAGGGAGAGCGGCAACGGTCGTGGAAGACCGTGTTCCCTTCCTCGTAAAATCGGAGCTCTTCCTTGACCAAGTACGGTGCCGTCCGGTGGAGAAATGCTCGCCGAGATGATCACGTAAGCAAGTTCAACTAGTACGGATGGTTATTTATTCAGATGTCCCGATATCGTCGCAGTAGTCTGTCAATCACCGTACTTTTTATTTTAACTTTCTATGAAATGAAAAACTTAGAAAATAGTTAGAAAATTAGAAGAATGAGTCAGAGAGTAACCTCATGAACTTCTTAGTGAACCAACGCCACAAGAAGGATATACTCTTTCCCTATAACTTCAAGTGAGTGTTAATCATGTCGATCATCCTTAATGGCTCATATGTTGATTCTAGTTAATTAATGAGTGTTATGCGTTATATCCTATAAACACATGCAGCAATCACTGGATATTGATGGACATCGATCTGGTGAAAAGTCACTTGATAATCTATGACTCGATGAGAAAACCACAACAAGACTACCAAGATATGATAGATATTATCCAGAGGTAATTTTGGGATCTCTAGCAACTATATATACACACAAACATGATGATTAACTATATCTGATGACGTGGCAAATTTTTTATTGGGCAGTGTTTGGAAAACCTTTATTGAGAAGCAACACATGGAAAAATGCAAAGCGCCACTGAATGTAATCCCTTTGAAAGTAAGTCCCCTGAATCGCATCATCTTTATTAATTAAACATATAGCTTTCACCGGATCACCAGATTGGATGACAAATCTTTTTCTCGTAAAGTGGTGTCTGAGGCAGGAACAGGGGAACAACTACTGTGGTTACTATGTTTGCAAGTTTATCAAGGTGCTCTCCCAAAGAACTCCTACAGAGAGACTCAAAGTACGTTAAAAATACACTATATATTCATTTAATTATTATTATTGATTGTGTTACTATGTCTTTATATATATATATGTACATATATTAATTTATTTTCCTTTAATTCAAACCTGTAGACTCGATGATTGGAGGAAAAAGTCATACGGCAAGACCAAATCAAAGCAATTCAAGAGTCTATAGCCGGATTTTTTAATGAGCAGGTCATCGATTCCAAGGACGAGTTCTACTTCGACCCAACACTGCCATTGAAGCCAAGCTAGAGGATGAGAGGAAACTTTTTATGTCACAACAACTGTAATGCAATCTTTTGTAATATATGCACATGAAATAATATAATGTAAAATACACATATGCATGCATGCATGTAAATATATATATGATGCATGCATGCATATACACATATATATATATATATTTCTATGCTTGAATTGTGTGATTTAATACGTTCATTGTGCTTGAACCGAAACATACTATACGCGCGTATAAATGTATAATTAGCAGCGTACAATACGACTTCGAAAACCTATTTTGAAAAGAAAACAAAAAAATGAAAAGAAAAGAAAAAAGAAAAAAACCTTTAGTCCCGGTTCGTATTACCAACCGGGACTAAAGGTGCCGGCCATCGTGGCATGTCAGGAGGCACCTTTAGTCCCGGTTGGTGTTACCCACCGGGACTAAAGGTCCTCCTTTAGTCCCGGTTCCTGACCCGGGACTAAAGGACCCCCTTTAGTCCCGGATGCTTGCTCCCGGGTGGGGAACCGGGACTAGAGGGGATTCCCCACCGGAAGTAAAGCTCGGTTCTCTACCAGTGACCTCATTAGAGCACCTCTCATTGCCTAATAACCATTTGCAAGGCAAACTTGATCCTGAGCATGTAGTAAAACTCATCAAATTAGTTATCCTTGACCTTGCTGGGAATTGGCTAAATGGTGAAATCCCAGATTCTATTGGGCAGCTCAAGATGCTGGAGGAGCTTCACTTAGACAATAACAACATGTCTGGAGAGCTTCCATCATCTCTGAGTAATTGTTCAAATCTCACAACCTTCATCCTGAAGGGCAATAACTTCCACGGGAAACTCACAAATGTCAACTTCTCCACCCTACCCAACCTAAAATTTCTAGATTTTAGATCAAACAAGTTCAGTGGCACACACAGTTCCAGAAAGCATCTACTCTTGCAGCAACCTTATTGATTTGCGGTTATCTTACAACGAACTCCACGGTCAACTTTCATCAAGAATAAACAATCTCAAGTCCCTAAGATTCCTAGGTGTCTCTCATAACAATTTTACAAACATCACAAATACACTTCAGATCCTCAGTTCCTCTACGACTCTCTCTCTTAATAATGGGGGGAAACTTCAAGCATGAGACAATGCCAGACTATGATGCATTTTATGGATTTAAGAATCTCAAAGGACTTGCCATAAGTGACTGTTCACTGTATGGAAATTTACCAAAATGGTTGTCCAAGCTTAAATTGTTGCAAGCACTGCTTTTAAACAACAATCAATTAAGTGGACCAATCCCAGCATGGATTAATACCTTAAACTTCCTTTTCTATATAGACATGTCGAATAACAGTCTTACCGGTGATATAACAGTAGCACTGATGGAGATGCCAATGCTTGAACAAGCCAAATCAGAACAAATTTTCTTAGCCACATCAGTATTTCCATTTCCTCTTTATCTGGCTCCATTTCTCCAATACCGTACGACCAATGGTTTCCCAAGAACAATCAATCTAGGCTACAATAGACTTACTGGTGTAATCCCACCGGAGCTTGGTGATTTAAAAGGACTGCTTGTACTCAACCTGAGCTTTAACAACTTATATGGGGAGATTCCAGAATCAATTGGCAACCTTGTGAATCTACAGGTGCTAGACTTGTCATACAACAATCTGACCGGCGCGATCCCTTCCACGTTGGAGACACTTCACTTCCTTTCCAAATTTGACATTTCTAACAATGATATGGAAGGGCCTATTCCAACTGGTGGTCAGCTCAGCACGTTTCCAGATAGTAGCTTTGTTGGAAACCCAAAGCTGTGCAGCCCTACCCTGGTGCACCTTTGTGTGCCCCACTGTAGTTCAACAAATGCAGCTGCACTTCCCATTGCCTCCACAGAACAGTACATTGACAAGGTCATCTTTGTGATTGCCTTTGGTATATTCTTTGGAGTAGGAGTTCTATATGACCAGATGGTTTTGTCCAGATACAACTGGCCCAATCTGGTTCAGCTGTAATAGGCTCATGACTATGACATGGACAGTACTGAAGTAAGCAACAAATACCGTGTGCGTCGCGATTGCCATCAAAGTCTCCAAGCATGTCATGCATCACCAGCAGCAAGATCAACCTGATCTGAGTTGTCATGGTCAGAGTTTGTTAATCATGTTCTGCTTGAAATGGATATAAGTAAAAGGAGACGAAGGAATGGACTGAGCGATGGAGGAATAGAAGAATTTGTAATCAAACAATGAACTGAGTATGTTTAGTCCCAGACCAGTCTCAGGGTTATGTGTAACTTTGCGTAATGTTTCACAAATTATGTAATGGGCTTTGCTATGATACTCCAAAATGACTGTGAGCCTGTTCATTTAATAAGATTGAATATGGTTAGAAACATATATTACTTTCTACAAAGTAATTGATGAAACATAGGTTTATTATTTTTTAATTTTATAAAATAGGATAAATAAGGAAAGTTTTAAATATAAAGATTTTTTTAGATTAAACAGTACGCTCACAACGCACGCACACTCAACCCCTATGAAGGCACGTACGCAAACCCGAAGACTGCGCTGGCAAATCGAGGTGCACCACTGAAAGCAATGCACACACACTCACCCCTACGAAGGCACACACGCAAACTCTGCTCCTATGAGCACATTCGAAGAAGGGGCCGACAAATCCCTGAGACAAGATTGACGAAGTCACCACAGACGTCTCTCTGTCGACCACCTTCGAAGACTGGGCCGGCAAATCCTCGAGACGAGATTGACAAAGTCATCACAGACGCCTCGTTGTCCACAGGAATGTCGTTTACCACTAAAAGAAGGGAAAATTGGTTTCATAGCACTCAAAGATTATGACATCCGGAAAATACCATCCAAAGTTCGCCGTCACGTAAAATAGCACTGAAAGTGGTGTTCCGTTCCTGAATCTGGCATTCTGTTTCCTTGCTGTTAACGGCGTCCACCAAAGCCAACTCCACCTCACGCAGACAGAAGGGCCCCACTCGTCGGCAGCGGACATAGAGAACAACCTACGGTGGCGGTGTTGAAGGTGGACACGCCGGACGTGTCGGCGTTGAGATCGCCGGTGATCACCGTCTTCCCCATGCCGTCGCCGACGAGGACCACGTTCGTCTTCTCCCACGGAACGCCACCGCCTCCTCAGACACCCCTTCCTTCACGCGTGCACCACGAACGCGCCATCGCCGTAGTCCGCACGGCCGCCACCGCCTCCCGCACCGTCCCGTGGTCGCACTTCAGCCGCCAGACACCGCCACGTTCGCGGCGCAGCAGCCTTGGCACGCCGCCGAGCGCGTCCACGCTGGCACCCGAGGTCGCGGCGGCGGCGGGCGGGCGGCGATACCGTCGCGCTCCATCTGCGGCGGCGCCAGCGGGACGTCTCGTCGCCGAAGCGCTGCCACGCGGCGCAGCATAGTTGCTGTTCACGGTGATGGTGGCGTCGAGGTAGGCCATGGCGCCGGAGATGGTTCGGGAGAAGTTGACGTACTTTGTACGCGGACCAGCAATCGTGAGAGGTGGAGCAGCGCGGTGGAGGCGGAGAGCAGTGACGGCGACGGGACGGCGAGAGGCGGTGCGAGGAGAGCGCGAGGAACGGAGGCGATTGGTGGCGGCGTTGGTGAGGTTCACGTTGGAGGAGGACGCCAAGACGGACTTGGCGTGGCAACGGCCGGGCGGGAGGCGCGCGAGGAGCGCTGGAGAGCGTCGCGGGCGAGGAGGTCGGCGGTGGAGGCATCGGAGGCGGCGCCGGAGAGCGTGGAGACGCAGGCCGGCTGGAAGCGGATGGCGCCATAGAGCCAACTCCACGGAGGCCAACCAACGAGGTTAACCGCTAAAGTAACAGAGTGCTAGATTCCGGAACGGACAGTGACTTTCAATGTTATTTTACGGTAGGATGAACTTTCAATGGTATTTTCCGAATGTCGTGTTCTTTCGGTGCTACGAAACCAATTTTCCCCTAAAAGAATAATGCCGTTAAATCGAACCCAGAACCTCAAGTGCTACTAAGGCTCTTATAACCATTACTCTCTCTGTCTCAAAATAGAAGTCGTTCTCGCTTTCTTAATATTTATAATACATAATTAGTATCATTAGATAGATTATTGAATATACTTTTATAATAAAATTATTTGGAGATATAAATATTGCATGTATTTTTTATAAAACCAATCAAAGTTGAGAAAGTTTGACCTGCACGCATCTCATAACGATTTCTATCGTGGGAGGAGGGAGTAGGCTACATGCCCTTTCCCTAAAGATGTTTTTTAAGATATAATAGATACATACTTGGGAGGTAATAAATCTTTTTTTTTTGCAACTTTAATATAACAAAATTTAATTAGCATAAACTATATATTTTTATGCATGTAACCGGGCCGCACGGAGGTGCCAATAACTGAAATTAACTTTACGTGCGTACGTGCCAACTTATAGTATATGAAACCTTTACGTTCCTACCTGCCAACTTACGTGTCTGAGGACTGAGGTATATGAAATTTTACATGTGTATATAAGATTTTACGTGGTTAGTTTACGTGCTTAATATATGTTACAACTACGTGTTTTATTAGAAGACTCTTTGAAATATATAACGTAGTTTTAAGTGATCAAGTATAATGTATACACTTTATTATTATGTAACGTGCTCATATTATGTGACTAGTTAGGGATCCGCTTGGTCACACACAAAAGGAAGGGTGCGTACAGGAAAGGAAGGGGTCACGCGTTGTCTTGTGTCGACCGTGCCAGTGGATTTGATAGTTCGCCATGTTCGCTTCAACTGCTTATCAGTCATGGTACAATGTTTTTCTCTCACAACAAAACAACATCAATTGGCTTATCAGCCACAGAAACCATCAACCGAACAGGCTTAATACGGATTATTTGTTTTCTTCTTTTCTTAGGTTATCTAAAAGTCTAAAAATCGATAGTTCATATCTTTGCGATATTACCTCTTATAATAAGAGAGTATTGTAGTATTGGCCGTGTAACACCTTTGTTAAAAACATAATGTCACGCAGTACTGAATTATCACAAAATGTGTAACATCTCTCTTCAACAACGATGTTATACACAACCTTCTCAATGCACTTCTTAAAAGAGATCTCCACATGTAGAACTTTTTGTCCAAATTTTCATAATTTCCTCAAATCTTATGATAGGCGCGTTGTTGTATGTTGACTCAAATCCTACATGTAATGGGACTCAAGAGACGTGTGTTATATGACTTTTAGTTTTATTAGGACTGGAGTGCAGGATCCTCCTAGAAGTAGGACTCATACTTGCATGTATAGGGGGAGGGGCTATATAAACAAGGGTAAGCCAACGCTAAGGGTCTCATTCAAGACTTGTAAATTACAATTATGAGCACTCAAGAGGATAGCTAGACAGTTCTATCACACTAGATTCTTGTATAGAGCAAGAATTAGTAGGTCCTAGAGAGTTAAGTGAGGTTGTAAGAGAGCAATAATCACGTGTACTCCTTTAGAGTTATGTGTATAGAATTTATGGTCAGCTTTACAATCCTAATCTCTTATAGCCGTTGTTTCAACATTGCCATCTAGTGTTTTCTATGAGATTCATCGATGTTGTTCTTGATACAATGCAAGCTTGTGTCATACTCTCAATATCCTTCTTTCAAATATCTGTGTTTGCTAACGAGTGTCCAGCGACATGGTTACATATAGTCCTTTGAGGAGCAATTATGTCATGAGAAATCTGGAAGCACTGCTCTGTCTCACTAATGTCGATGCTTCCCAGTACTAGCAGCGAGCATCCCTATCATGGATTAATGCTGCCGCAACTTTCGCTAGAATCCTCCAATTCATGGACCTCAATTCTTGAACATGAGTAATAAAAACCAACAAGATGAATATATCATATAAGGACTAGTCCGTTACTTGTAGTCCGCTGCATGGTCATGGATGCTTTCAAATT